AGAGGGGTCCCTAGCCTCCTGGGCTTCTTCCTGCTGGCCTTGCTTCAGAGGGAATCAGGACTCTGATGGAGGACAATGTTTGGGGGTCCTTTACTTAGGACCTCAGTGGGATGGAGGACCTTTCAGCTCCTAGCCAATCTCATATTTCGTTTTCCTGTCTTTCTGAAGTTGTGCAGTTGTGGGCTACCTAGGAGGCAGCAACTTGGAAGTCTGAAAGACGGAACCCTTGCAGAGGCTCAGGAACGCCAGCAGGCACATACACTTTTTATCACAGTCCTGTCCTGCATTATGATGGGCTTCAGGCAGCAAAGTTTGGGACCCTGGGTCCTGAAGACCTTGCACTAAACCTTGCTTCTCCACCCTGCCCCACATCCATAAAGTTTAGGGGTTTGACTTGAGTCAGGATCAAGTTTCCAGAAAGCCTAGCAAAAGCTTAATTTAAAAGTCCAGTTCCATATTCCTTCCCTTAGAATAATGGACCCTTTTCCACCAAGAGCTCTTTAGGGACCCTACTACTTGGAGCTTTTTAGATGTCCTGAGGCATGTTGATTGAAGGGCCAGTTTTTGAAGAGAGAGACAAGTAGAAATGTGGAGGAAACACAGGTGAGCATGGAGAAAGTCAGAGCAGGAGATGGTGTATATATAATATGCCACAGGAACTTCCAGTCACTCTTCCTAAGTGTCTGACAGCCAGAGGTCCTATTGTGTCTATCTCTTTTTGGATATGTTCGCTGCGGATATGGAGGTTCCCCAAGCTTTGACTACTTGGAGAGGATGAGGCTTGTCCATAAAAACTCCTTTACCCAAATTTGGAATCAGTGAAGGCCAATAATGCTTTGATTGAATTTTCCTACCAGGTCTTACCCTGCTCTTAAGTCTTGCTGCCCTGTACTCTCTTGGAAGGGGGTGATCTCAGTTTCCTTTGACTCCAAGGGGCCTCACTCTGGCCAGGATATCACCCCATATTGACAGTTTCTGAGATTCCAGATGCACAGGCAAATTAATGTGGGCCTTTTGCTCCTACACTAACCTGTAGAATGGGGTAAAATCCATCTTTGGGGCAAAGATCTGCTCCTCTCCTCCTCCTCCTGAACAAATCAAAATTATCAGGGCTGGAGGCTTAGGATACACAGAAGAATCTCTTCCAACTATGCCTTTGTCCATGACCATCTTCCTAGGTCAAGGATCAAATTCTCACCCATCTCAAGAAAATCAGGCTGGCTTTACAAACCAAAGCTGGACAGGATGAAAGTTACTCTGAAGAGATGCTGTACCAGGATGGTAAAGACCCATGGAGGTCAGGATCTGGTCCCAATCTTATGTGGAGAAGGGTCTGCAACAACTCTGGAAGGGAATGTGGGGTTGTGAGCTAGGAATCTGGACCCATCCAAGTCACTATATACAAACACCTCCTCTTGTAGGAAACCCAGGCAAGGTGTTCCAGACAGGTGGCAGATAGGAGGATCAAGGCTGGGGTCAGCTGAAGGTAGCTTCTAGAAGCTAAGCAGTCAAGAGAGTACTGGTACCTTCCATAAGGCCTAGGCAGTGAAGGCAGAATTTTTCTTCACCAGAGCCTTTTAGATTTCAGATTCCATCTAAATCAGTTCTTTGACAGAGGCCATGGAGTTGACAACTTCGGAGCTTGGCTTGTATGCCTGTGCAGCTCTCCAAAGTCTCATCCATCCTGAAACAAATATGTGATTAGAGTGTGCGACTGTGCGACTGTGCTTAGAGGCGGAATCCCAGAGAGTTCTGGGTTCCAGGAAAATAACTCCTGATCTCCTTCCCCAATGATCTACCTCTGGTCTTACTACTGAACTCCTCAGCCCAGGGCCTGGGGTCAGATTTAGGCATTCAGATGTTTCAGCTTGCTGGAGTTAGTAATCCTGGCCCACCAGCACCAGGAAGTAGCTAATGCTGCCTGGGTTATCGCCCTGGCCATGAGCACGCTTGGGTGTGCAGGAGCTGCTCCACGAGCGGGGTCTTCCGCCTCCGAAAGCGATTCTGGCAGGAGGGGCAACTCTGTTAGCCTACAAAGCGCTCTGGAGCCTAAGCTGCGGGGCCGGCATCCCGGTTCACAGAGCTCTTCCCCACCCCGCTCTGCCACCTTCCAGGGCACAAGCTGTGCCCTAGGAGCGCTTGAAGAAACGCGCGGTTCCAGCCGGTTCCCATCTGCTGGGAGCTGTTTCCTGTAGCGCGCCAGGTGTGCCCTTGTGGTCCTAAAAACGCAGAAAGGGTCGTGTGGAACCGGAGAGCAGGGGACGCAGGTTTGGTAGAAGCCGGGCCCCGGCGAGCGCAGCTGCCAAAGTTGGCTGCCCGGGTCAGCAAAACTTTGTCTCTCAGTGCGCAGGCGCAAGGCAGGGTTGGGGGGCAGGGGAGGGAGGGGAGGAATCCTGAGGCAAGGGGCGGGGGGGCTGGGGAGGAGGGAGGGTGGTGGATTAAAATAAGTAGGCGGCTCGGTGCTAAGGGATGAGTGAGTCGGAGCTCGGCCTCTCCCCAGATCGTTCCCAGCAGCTTCGGTTCAGAACCAGCGGGGGAACCAGGAGCGAGGCTCACGATCCCCCGGCGGGCAGGACTCCCGGGCTGCTGAGCGCTCCCGCGTGTGGGGCCCTCGGAGTCCCCGCGGCTGGAGAGGGGTCAGGACTCCAAAACACCAGGCGTGTGTGTGGGCTTCAGCTCCTGTGGCTTCCCGGGTCCCGCGCAGCGAGCCCCAGAGACGCGCTCAGCAGCAGGACCACCGCGGAACGAGGTAACTACAGCCCTGGGCTCCGGGGCTCAGCAACCCGAGCGAAGGCAGTACCCCAGGGTTCCTTGTCACAGCGCGGCGGTCCTGCTCCCTCTCCCCGCCTCGGTCTCTGTCTCTCTCTCTCCGTGTCTCTCCTGGTCGCGAAGGAAGCTCCTCTTGCTCAGGGAAAGCTGTAGAACCTTTGTGAAAGTGAGAGCGACAGCCGCCCAGGGTAGGGGGTGCTGACTCAGGGACTTTGCACGCAGGGTCCTGGGCCTCTGACCTCGGGAGAATAAGGGGGCGGGCCTCAGTCATCGCCCCCAATCGCGCTGAGCTACTCGGAATCCGGGTCAAGGTGCCCACGGACTTTGCAAGTCAGTTCTGTGGGCCCGCTTTAAGAAACCGGAGCAACTTCAGCAGGCACAAACTTTGGCAGACGCGATCCTAGCTCAGGCTGATCTGCCTTAGTTGATGAAAGGGAAGGAGAGAGTGGATAGCCATCGCCACAGTCCACAGCTCCAGGGACAGGTGCACGTCCCAGCCTGGTCGCGCTTTAGTTTGACTTTTACCGAGTTCTGCTCAGGTTCCAGGCAGGCTAGACCCTGGTGCTCACTGCTGCATTTCTGAAGTCAGCTTCGCCCCGGAACTCTGACTTCGGAATACTCTCTATACGGTAGATTTCTCCATGGGGTTAAGGCCTGGAGCGTAACCCTCGATTGCCCAGGTGCAGTTAGGCATGGACTTTACCAGGCACGCGGGGCACAGGCTTTCTTCTCAGTTCGAGACTGCATGCCGAAGTAGCATAAACACTGTGGAGGTTCAAGTGTCTGGGGGCTGGGGATTGGTAGAAAAGAATTCTTATGCTCCCCTGACTGTCCCCTAATCCAGCTTTCTGGAGAGAAGTGGAAGCCTGAGGAGAGAGGGATGGAAGTGAGAAAATGCCTGCTGAACTAATTTGTCCCATGAAATGCCTCTAATAAGAATGAAAACCCACATCCAGTCCTTTTTCAGCAGCCCAGGTAGTAGCAGAGTGGGTCTCCGGAGAACAAACCAGCTTCAAGAGTTTCTTTGTTGCAATAATTCCACAAATTTCACCCGGACTTATTGCTATACCTTGACTCTTAGGAACAGAACCACGTGCAAAGCTAGTCTCCCGGGTCACAGCTTCCTAGGGGAGAGAAGGGCTGGCCGAGATGGGAAGCTACTGGTGTATAGATGGACCTTCCCAGGCTCCTGGAAGTAAATGCAGTTTCATTAAGACCCGAGAGCAGATAGATCCCCGAAGACGCAACGGGCATTTCAGTGCAGCAGGATGGACGCCTCACCAGTAGTTTCGATGGATCTTGTTCCTGGGGAGAATGTAACCGAAGTATCAGGTGTTGGTCATCCTCTCGTCGGGCGTCCGGACCCTGTCACCATTCCTGTTGGGGATTCAATGTGGAGGATGATTATCTTGGGCTGCTGCTGGGCTCCTCCAGGCGCAAGCTCCTGTAGTTCGCTCCATCCTTATTAATGCAAGCAGTTAACTCGCTCACGCTCAATTAGCCCCGAATAAACCACTTTAATAGACTCTGCACACTTCATTAATGCCCTGCTTAGGGCTTGCGGCAGACCTGGAATTGGCGCTCCATCGCGCGAGGTACGCGAGTGCCTGAACTGAGCAGGGACCCGAGCGCCAATTGCCTTTACTGTGCTAGTCGAGACCTTTGCTACCGCTTCTCAAGGCCGGAGGCACCGACTCTTTGTGGAGTAAATGCCTGGCTTCGGGGAGAGGTGTTCGTTTCGCGTTAAAAGATCAAAAGCCTTCGCACTGGGGTCTTGGGGTTAGGACAAGGAGAGCCGGACAAGCCGGGTTTCCCGCTCATCCTCTCTGGCTGGGGAAGCAAGGTTGATACTGTGTTTTTCTCGTAGCTGACCGCCTGAAACCAGATCATGCATCCCGCCCATTCTGGGTACTAGTGTCAGGGAGCCACGTTTCGAACGAATTTCGTCCGCCGGAAAGTCATTGGCGGGAGCCTGGGGAGCCCTGGCCTCGGAATGCTGCTGCAGAAAACAAGAAACTGCCCGGGCCGCCGAGGAAAATAAATGGAGTGTTGGGGGAAATAAGATTGGGCAGATAGCCCGGAAAGGTTGGCTCCCAAGAGCCGTGGTGGCAGCATCCCCCCTCTCTGGCCCCCCACGGAGCCCCAAGACCGCTGGGTCTTTTTTGCTCCTTGATGGGAGGTGAGGAAAGGCAAGGCGAGGTTGGTGGGGACTCCCACCTGAGCTCCAGGCTTGGGCCAGCGTGCAGCTCCAAGTCCTGCCGCTAAGGCCTCTTGGAGAGGAGCAAGCCCAGGCCTCCCGGTATCCCGGCGGCGGGCTCCCGATGACTGGAGACAAGGATCTGATTTCTAGTGCCTGGAGGGGAAGAAGAGGTGACAGCAAAATCAAAGAGCGCTCATCTTGCCTAAGTCCAGGCGAACTTTGAAGTTAGCAGTCTTCTCTTCCCACTTCCAATACAAGCGGTCCCAGCTTCTCCTTTAGCTCTGTTCGCATTTTGCTTCGTTCTTGTTTCAGAGCTTTGGGATGGACTAGGATTTTAGGGCAGAACTGGCGATAGGAAGCAGTAGAGAAGACCCTTGCAGAAGCTCTACCATGGCCATTGCCGTTGCTTCTGAGGTCTCATTGCTGCAGATATGTGCCTCCTCTACCCTGCAGCTGAATCAAGTGATCAGACTTGGTTTTCATCCGATGGATAATTTAATTCGTGTAGGCAACTCTCTAGGGGCTCATGGGTTTTAGACACTACCTCTTTCCTTAGAGCCCACCACACAATCAGTGACCCTCCTGTCAGCTTCTAGAGGGAAAGATTTTCTGAAGATTGTCCTCACACCTTCCAAGTACAGACAGTGCACATCCCTGCACAAGACCAGAATTTTAAAGCAAAAGGCTGGGACCTTGAACTGGGGCTTGAGGGCTGGCTGGGCCTAGGAAGGCTGAGTGTGCTATGCCATAGGGAGCAAGATGGTGGCCTGCACCTCCCAGGTAAGGACTTTACTCTGGGTTAGAGGAGAGGTCCTAAGAAGAGGAGAAGTGAAAGGGTCCTGGTGACCTGGCTCTGATATTGATTTTTTTTTTTTTTTTTTTTTTTTTTTTTTTGAGTAGCTCCCAGAAAGCTGGGAGCCAGGAGTTGAGCACCTGGGCTTCTCAAGGATCCCTGCTACTTTTTGGCTCCCCTCCCCCCACCAGGGGATAGAACCTAATTAGGAGTGTCTGTGAGGGGCAAGGATTAAAGGTTTCTTCCCATGCAAGTTGGAGACCCTGACAAAGGAGATCAGGAGATGACAGATCTTGGTCACTTGTGGTTTCTCTCTGGCGTTGCTCAAGCATCCTAACTTTCCAGTTGGAGAGTACAGAGTACAGACCACAGTAATGGAGCCTTACTTCAGTGTTCTTGCCCATATACATACCCACCTGCCCAGAGTTCTTTATGTACATAAAATTTGTTAGCATCCAAAGACCCTGCTCCCTTTTCCTCTGAGGAAAAAAAAAAGACATTTGAGTCTCCTGGTATGTGACTGCAGATGTTTAACAGAATAAGTGAATGTGTGGGTCACAGCACCCTCTTTGAAATGAAGGCAACCCCCCAAGCACTATAATAGGGACTCGGTCTGCAAGGAGTTGCCAAAAGATAGCTGCCCAAAGTTATCACTAGTACTTGTAAGGTAGGGTAGCAAATTGTGGTTCAATAAAGGAAGGTAACTCAGCTTTGGTTTCTGGAAACCAAATCAAAGATCAGTCAGACCTTCATATGCAGAAACTAGGAGATGTGTGCATTTGTCTTTATGTGTATACTTGCTGTTTGTGGAGGCCCTTCGTGGGTATGATGTGATTCCCTGTATGTGTTTGTATGTGTTATGGGCTCTGTGTTTTGTGACCAGTGTTGTCCTATGAAATTGACTGTCCCAGTTTATTTGTGCACATTCTTGTCACATCTGCATTAGAACCTGTGGATCTGTGTTTATCTGTTAGTGTGCATTTTCATGTTTATCTGCACCTGAATGTGTAAGTCTGCTTCCAAATTCTGTTATCTTTGCAGGGCCTGGCTTCCCTGGATGTAGGTTTTTACGTGCAGTTGCTCTGGGTTTGTGCCTTAGAGACGGTGTTCTGTATGCAGTTGGTCCTTATTTTAAATTAGTTGTATTGCAAAAGACTTAATTTCATACTACTTTCTCTTATCAAGTGTGTGTCTCTGTCAAAGGCCATTTGGAGGGAGCCCTAACACCAGGAAGTCTTTCAAGGAGAGGGCTCTCCTGTTCCTTACTTTCCCATCTTCTGGGTGAGGGCAATGGGGGTGGGGGTGGGACCTTAAAACTCCCAGCTTCTGCACTGTGAGTCAGAGAAAGTGTGTCTGGGCTGGTTTTCAGGAGGAAGGCAACCTACCCTGAACTTTTTTTTCCCTCTCCCCCCCTTCTTTTTTCCTTTCTTTGCAGATCGAGATTGAGAACCACTGCAACTACCACAATGGGCAGCAAAACTTTGCCAGCCCCGGTGCCCATCCACCCATCCTTGCAGCTCACCAACTACTCTTTCCTCCAGGCAGTGAATGGCCTTCCCACAGTGCCCTCGGATCACCTGCCCAATCTGTATGGTTTCAGTGCTCTGCACGCTGTGCACCTGCACCAGTGGACGCTAGGTTACCCAGCCATGCATCTGCCCCGCTCCTCTTTCTCCAAAGTGCCGGGTGCAGTATCCAGCCTGGTGGACGCGCGCTTCCAGCTGCCGGCCTTTCCTTGGTTCCCTCATGTCATCCAGCCCAAGCCAGAGATCACCGCTGGAGGCAGCGGTCCAGCGCTCAAGACCAAGCCTCGCTTTGATTTCGCCAACCTGGCCCTGGCCGCCACACAAGAAGATCCCACTAAGCTTGCCCGAGGGGAGGGCCCAGGCTCCCCCGCAGGTGGGCTAGGTGCCCTCTTGGATGTGACCAAGCTGTCCCCAGAAAAGAAGCCCACGAGGGGACGCCTGCCTTCCAAGACCAAGAAAGAATTCGTCTGCAAGTTTTGTGGCCGCCACTTCACAAAGTCCTATAACCTACTCATCCATGAGCGGACGCACACGGATGAGCGGCCCTACACCTGTGACATCTGCCACAAAGCCTTCCGGAGGCAAGACCACCTACGGGACCACAGGTGCGGAACTGGGGGAGGCCCTAGAGAGCTTGCTTAGGGTTTCACCTTCCTCCTCCCTACAGACCCCCTGCTGGCTTCAAGCCTATGGATCGGGAATTTCACCGAGGCAGGAAGGGTCAGGATTAGGTTTGGGAGCACCTGTGGAAGAAATGTGGGTATGAATAGGACCTAAGACTAGATTAGAGCTCCAGACTGGCAGTACTGCTGCTGCCCCCCTTCTCCATCCCCAGAGTTGTCCAATAGTGAAGTTCCTGCAATGATGAACAAAACAACCGAACACTTGAAATGTGCAACTAGTGAGCCTGGGAAACTGTTTTTAGTTTTATTTAATTTTAATTATCAACCACATGTACCAGTGGGTAGTCTTGGAGAATGCAGCTCTAGGAATGGTCTGTTAACCAATTCCCTGATGGACCTCTAGGTGAATCAGGCCTTGTAAGGTTGCTGCCTGCCCTTCCTCCTCAAAAAGGCAGATGGTCTGTTTGCCTTGACCTGTTTAAGGAGCAAAGTTGCCCAGGTTCTCTGTCACCTCCTTGCTCTGTCCAGAGTCTGCATTATGCTAGTTGCATACTTGGTACCCCACACTCCTCCCCATCTATAATGCAAGTGCCTTATAAAGGGATCTTGGGACAACTGTTTACAATAACATTGCATCCTTTTGCCAGGATTAATTGTCGTTTCTGTCCTCAGATACATTCACTCCAAAGAGAAGCCTTTCAAATGTCAAGAATGTGGAAAGGGATTCTGCCAGTCCAGGACTCTCGCTGTCCACAAGACGCTACACTCACAGGTGAAGGAGCTCAAAACCTCCAAGATCAAATGCTAAACAGCCTCTGGACCACCAGGACCCTGGCCACGCTGCCCCCTCCTCTGGAGGAACCCGAAGCTGAAGGCCACTCTGGCGGGCAGCGGGAGGGGCGCTTGGGACTTCCCCCCACCCCAACAATGTCCCCTGGGTCCTCGGCACACGCGGCATTACAGAGTCCTGCCCGGGGCCATGACCCTGACCGCCCGGGCGGCTCCCCCAGGACGCGGCTTAACTTTGGGCCAAAAGGAGGTACTCACGTGGCGGAAGGGAAACTGCATTAAAAAAAGAACGAAAGCTCCGTGGAGACGCAGCGGCGCCTCTCCCAGAAGTATTACTTTTTCTATTGTTATTTTATACATTTTCTTTATTTTTTTTTTCTTTGACCATATAAGCTTGTAACTCTTGACTGCGGATAGGAGAGAGGAAAAAAGTTCTGCGCGCCCGCAACTTCTAACTCCTCCTCCAGTCCCCATGCCCACCCTGGGAGCCTGCAAAAGTGTAATCGGTGTATCTGCTTCAGCCGCCCGGCCCCAGGGACCGCGGGGCCCGGAGCGCCGGCTCCCGCTGCTGCCGCGCAGCCGGCCGAGGGCTCCCGGACTCGGATGGCGGGGCAGGGATCTCGCGCCCGGGGTCGGGAGGAGCCCGGCCGCGGCTCCCCTGCTCCACCGCCGCGTCACAGCGAGCGAGCAGCCGGCCAGGAGCCGGGCGTTGTATTGCGACTGGCACTTTATGCTGACCATCGGTAACGGACATTTATCACTGGAGTTGTTTTTTTTTTTTAACTATTAAATAAACGGTTATTTTACAGGCACTGCAGGACGGGTAATTTCCCTCTCCAACCGCAGGAAACCACTCCTTTCTATGAGAGGATCAGGTTTCTCTGCTTGACTTCAACCTGTCCTACTTCCCTCCCCTCGTCGTCTTGGGGTGATGAGGCTGGGGATGGGGGGAGAAAACCCGTTTTTAGGGTGTTGGTCTACCTCTGCCCAACTTTATATTTTCTTACTATTCTCCGCTTCGGTGTCAGGGTCGCAGTCTCCACCCTTCACTTCCCGAGAGCGGCGCGTTTAAAAAGAACCCGAGTCTGAGGCCGCACGTGGCCATGAGAAATCCCAGCATCTCCAAGTGCCAGGGTCTTTTGGTGTTCGCTGAAGGGACAGAATATCAACTTCCCCCCTTCACCCCACCCCATCACCAACTAGTAACTTTCCTACTGGCCTCTGGCTTATGCTTCGGAGTGGAAAGACCTGCTTTCACAGAGCTTCAGATGAGTGCTGCGCCCAGTTTCTCTGGGTCCCAGCAGGCGGTCTCCCCAAAGTCACAAAACTACATCCTTCCCTCCTTCCCTTATTTATGATCATTCTCTCCCCGCCGCCCCTCCCCCAGCTACACAATGGGGTTTATACCCTGTTCGGACCGCGACTCCACCAGCGAAGATGTTCTGCAGTTTTAAAGCGGTCTGAGCAATAGGGAGGGCGGGCGGGCGCCCTTGGAGGCTGGGGATGTTTAGAAAGAGAAATCCGAGTCTCCCCCCCCCTCAAGTCGAACCACCCCCAGGACGTCTAGTGTTCCCACAATTAGAGGGAGGGTCGGTCACTCGGAGCTCTCTGGTTCAGAGGCGGGGCGGGGCGCCTGCTTGTACAGCGCCCTGACCGCGGGTGCACGCAGGCGGTGGCGCCCTCGGCCTTCCGCGAGGCAAGAGCTGCCTGATCGGCTTCAGCACTCACCGCCGCGCGGCGGAGACCACTGAGTTGCGCTTCCCTGCATCACTTCCCTCCAACAGGGCCTTGCGAACTGAGAAAAGGGCCTGGGCTGCAGGTGGTAAAGTGCTCCCGCCTTTCACCGCCGGGCCCCTCCCCACTTTCTTTGGGAACATTCCCAGGCCCTGTGCGGGATAGAACTCCCTAATCCGGGAACCTAAATTAGCAATGTGGTCTCTGCAAAACCGCACGGGATAGCCCTGCCTTTTTTGTTGTGATCCGCCCCGCCCCCTGCTGGACACGCCTGGAGGGGCGGCCCATGACTCCAGGCATCCATGACTCCAGGCATCCAATGTGTCCTGCCAGCAGCCTAAAGTAACTGCGGCCACCCTAGTCCTCTATTCACATAGGTGTAGCCCTCAAAACCTTCTCGATTGGTCCCAGGGCCTAGGGCAAGGGCGTTGCCAGGCCAGAACAGACCTGTGGGGTCTCCACTATTCACACAAGAGCTCAATCACTTTTTTACCAGGTCCACAAGGACTGTCCAAGGATGAACATTCCCTTCCTGAGACTTGGGACCTATTGTGCATGGAGGGAGGGTTAGCCTGCATGTTTTGGGCGTCCAGCGCCTGAGTCAACCAGCACAGGTTATGGGAATGGTCTGTGCTTGGTTATGGCTTGAGATAGGGCCAAATGCATTGACCACAAAGTTTCTCTTATGCAGGGCCATGGTGGCTCCCAGACAAGTGAGTTGTTAAAGTATATACACACGGAGACACTAAGGACCACCGTGGGCACTTCTGAGGACATGGGAAAAGGGAGCCCTCTCTTGTGCCTCTTTTCTGGGATAGCATCTTATCCTGCATCCCCCTCCACCCTCAACACTCCTCTTCTCAGGGCCAAAGAGCCTCTGCAGCTAGCCAGGCCTCAGTACATCATAAATGCTTTGAAATGGGGAAATTTGCCCTGGGATGTTTTCCTTTCTGGCCCACTTCACCTCTAGCACTATGAAACCTGGTCATATCCTGG